TTTTTCTAATTCAGTGCCATATTCTTTTATATAACTGGCTTGGGCTTCAAAGTGAATTTCTTTCTCAAATTGTTTTTCTAAACTAGGAACATTTTTATAAACGCTTCACTTCCGTCCTGGCTTATCACTATCCAAAACTATTCATTGCCCCTTTTTAAATTTAGGATTGCCATATTTGTCTAATTCTATTTCACTATCGGGAACTAATTCTCCTTCGTGTCCGGTTTTTCTTAACATTTTACCGATAGCCCTCAGATAGTGCTTGCGTGAATAAGAAAAAGGATAATCAGTATTATTTTTAAAATATTTATCTCAAATTTCTCCCATACCGACACTTTTGGTAGGTTGCGGCGAGAATGGAATGATAAACCGATCCCGTATTCTTCAAGGGCTTTTTTGATAAAGACGTTTATAAATTTCTAACAACTGACTCAGACTTTTGACTTGCTGCCCCTTAAATTCTGTTAAAATCTTTTCTCTTTCAGCAATAAATTCTTTACGGCGTCGAAATAATTCTTTATGTTCTCCTTTTTCCGGAAAAAAATATTTAAATTGTTCGGATTTTAGAAATTCCTTGGTGCTAGGATTTAAGGAACCAATTTTGTCCTTGTAATACTTTAATTGGTTAGCCTGACTAATTAATTCCTCCTGATAAGCCCGCCTAGTCTGTTTTATTAAATAAGCCGAGCCTTGTTTATTTAATTTATAAACAGTATATTTAGCACCAAATTCTTTTCAGGGGTTGTAGTCGGGGTGCTTTTTTTGAAGTTTTTTAACATACTGGGCTAAGTGGGGGGATAGGTCTAAGTGAGGGGTGAAGTAAGGAGATTGTTTGGGGTCTTGTTTGTTTAACTCGGTGCGGAAGTAAGAGTAGATTTCTTTTAGGCGTTGTTGTTTTTGCTGTTTGGCTTCTGCTTTGGCTTGTTGAACCCTTGTTTGAGCCTCTTTTTTAGCACGGCGAAGTTGTTGATTGGCTAAGAGTTTTTGCCGACCGGCTTGTCAAGCGGAGGCTCACAGGTTGAGTTTTTGGCGGTAGAGGGAACGGTATTTTTTAACCTCACCTTTTTTTTTGGTCTTCTGGGCCTGCTTAATTAATCTCTCTAATTCGGTGAAAGAGCATTTTTTTCTTGACATTTTTTATTTTCCTTTTTATTAGTTAGTTATCATTTAACTAAATACTATATAACAATTTTTTACGGAAAAAAGTAATGCCAAGCCACTTAAAAACTTGTAAAATATTATTAATTTAACTTGACATTTGCTCCTTTTCCTGACCGTCCCGAGTAGGCAATACTTGGGATGGTTTTTATATTTTTTTATTAAATACATTTATTATAAAAGTTATTATATTGAATATTTTAGGGAAAAATTTAATCAAAAAATCAAGCCCTCAGAAACCAAAGTTAACCAATTAAAAACTAAAATATAGATCATGCCAAATAATTATAGTAGCCAGCAAATTATCAATACCATCGAAAATTACCGCTATTTTCTTTTATCTCTTTCCCAACTGACTGAACTAAAACAGACCTCCGAAAAAATTTTTAAATTAGCCAATGAGACCTTACTGGACATTATCCAGCAAAAAGAGGTCGAACCCTGAATGAAATCCCGGTATGGGATAGTTAAGCCGCTGTGAGAAAATGGTCAAACTGGAATAAATTTAATGAGAATTGATTTTGCTTGGAACCTAGCGGGAAATCTGCAAGTATTAGAGTTGAATACCTTGTCTCATAGTAGTTGAATAATATCTGGTCTAATTGAACAAAAATCAGCCGCTGATAAAATTGGTATTCCTTTAGCTCCCAAGCCCCTGTTTTACGCTAAATATGTGTTAGAAAAACTGGGATCCAAAATAGCCATTATGGTTAAAGGAACTGAATACAGTAAAGAGTTAGATCTATTATTGCCGCAACTGGAAAACTTAGGGGGAAAAGGCCGTATTATAGCCCTTTCCGAAGCTGC